AACCTGTCCTTCAGCGGGAAAGTGAAGTCATTCCATCAAGTTATATGCACTCTGAGCACGGAATGTCTGCTAAATGAAAATGCTAAGAAAATTGTGGTGGAGGCCATGGCAGAGGGGGATTAGGAAGCTGCCCGAAAAGCAAGTTCCATTTTAACTGAACAAACAAATCGTTATTCCTATTGAACGTACGTTCACCAGGTGCAACAAGCGGCAATAAATTGGTCTGCGGAGTGGGACAGGAAATGATCACGCCTCCGGGCTTTCTCGTAGCCCCGGTGATCAGCTTCTGCGATCGAACAGTAAACACACACGAAAGCTGACCACTGACCGCCGGAAGATTCTGGACTGTGAGATCAACCTGAAAGTTAATAATTCATCAAGTGTTTTAAAACAATCAACCAGTGGTGGATTATTTACATATTTCGCCACGGTAGTGGGGATTTCGTCAGGTTCGACTCGAGTGATCGACGTGCACTGAGATCCTTTGAAAGCCAGCCAGTTGCCTCTACAATTGTCGTTTATGGTGCACCTAAACAAGTGGTCAAGCAATAATACAAGGTTAAGCAAAGTCATAAATTTTAAATGACTCAAATGGGAATATAGCGTGAGCAAATGAATTATAGTCAAAAACTATGTTCAATTTAGTCCACTGACCACAGCCCACATCTGGTCCTAGATACACAAACCTAGTAGAAAATAGTACTTGTTATCCTGTGAACACCAACCACAGTATGGGTCTTCGGCTCCCAGACACTGATTGCACCGCTGGTGGCGCAAACATTCTTGAACTTTGACCTTGCTCAACTAAAACCAAGTAAAAATGATGAATACGGTAAATGGAACAAGCCACAGTTAATTAACAGCTCACCAATCTGGCGGTCATGACGTAGACGAACAGTCCGGACATGTCGAACTCCATATCAGCCAATATCTCACGTCCAGGGTCAATGTCGATCTTTTCGTACTCGTGAGCTGATGTGGCACTGTCCAACACTGCCTAAAATGAAAAAACTGATATCAATTACGGATAATGAAAAAGTTTAATTATAATATTTATTAAATGATAACTATCGAACATGTGACGTCACCTAGCAATTTAATTCAGTAAAACTTGTATTCCTGACGCCAAACCCTGTCCGCTGTAAATACCAGAAGTTATTGCTTCCAGGACTCAAAACAATAGCAGGCTCTGAATATGAACAAATTCATGCAACTCTGACAACCCTGTCAAAGATTCCCAAATCAAGTGTGGATAGATCGAAAAAGTCACTGTAGAAAAAACCTATATTCGTGTGTTAAACGGGTGTTCAACGGCTAGTAAGTTTTTCGTGTATTTAGCCAATAGAACGGCAATTTTTGAGCGTCGTTTCCCAAATTTAATAACTCTGAGGCTCATTAACCTTGAACCATTGTTACTGGCAAAAAAACTTAATTGTAAAGAGACCCAAATTTTTGGCAATGAAATTTGTCAGATTAACTTAGTAAAAAAAGAGAACAGTGTCATAAGCGAAGTAACGAGAGATACAAGATCACTAAGCAAAAGAGTTCGTCAGCTGCTTGCATGGTAGGCAACCTCTTAACTCTGAGGTAACGCAGAAAGATTATGATTGAAAGATCTCACCAATCTCAAGTCATTACACCTCCAGAACAGTTTGAAATCGGCTATGGCAACAAAATGGAATGAAGAAGAAAAACGGTCAATCGGTAAGAAGGCAAACCTTTTTCAGCTGGCCATCATCCGTTCCAATAAAAACGATGGTATACATGTGAGCAGTTGTTGCCGCGACTGCCGTAAGTCTTGAGTTAGTAGTGACTAACGCTGAACGTTGCGTGACGGGCAAAGTCCCGCCCAAAGGGTAATTCGTATCAAAACCACATGTGATGTCATCGGTTGGGGAGAAATTCTAAAGAATGAAAAGTACAGCCAATTACGATTTACTGAGAATGCTTGTGTACCATCTTGAGACATTTTCGATCCACCTTGAAGATCGCTAGGCCTCTCATCAACTCGCCCTGGCCGCACAGCTTGATGTTGTCCAGAAATCGCTCTTCGATATACTTCATCGAGTAGACGCAGAGGGCTGCCTGTCGAGATGGCTCGTTAGGCTGCGCTTCGTTGATGCCTCTGGCAAACAGTGCAAACAACACGTCGTCCTCCGTGCTGATGTTCAGATCTTTCGCTAGGTCGAAGCCGGCTTTGCTCACATAGGCGCTTTGGACGAGGTTGTAGTTGATGAGTGACGAGAACGGGTCGCCGCCGTCCATCGACATGCACTCCAGCGGTACTTCGGTGTATGAATAGTAGTTGCTGTCACGATGACAGACACGAATAAGCTTGCTGT